TGGTGCCTTCCTTGATGGTTTCTTCTTAGTTTTCATGGTTCCTTCTAGTTTTTGATGGTTTCTTCCCATTTTTGATGACATCTTCCTGTTTTTGATGGTTCCTCCTTGGTTGTGATGGTTTCTTCCCATTTCTCATGGTTACCTCCAGTTTTTAATGGTTTCTTTTTAGTTTTGATGTTTTTTTTCTTGCATTTGATGTCTCCTTCCTGTTTTTGAGGGTTTCTACCCATTTTTGATGGTTTCCTTCCTGTTTCTGATTGTTTCCTTCCCTTTTTGATGGTTTCTTGCCATTTTAGATGGTTCCTTCCCATTTTTGATGGTTTCCTCCTGGTTTTGATGGTTTCCTCCCATTTTTGACGGTTATTTCTTGTGTTTGCTGTTTCCTTCCCATTTTTGAGGGTTTCTATCCATTTTTCATGGTTTCTTCTTGTTTTTGATGCTTTCTTGCCATTTTAGATGGTTCCTGTCTTGACGGTTCCTTCCCATTTTTGATGGTATCTTCCTGTTTTTGATGGTTTCTTCTCATCTTGCTTCCTCCTATTTTTGATGGTTCCTTGCCATTTTTAATGGTTTCCTCCTGGATTTGATGGTTTCCTTCCGATTTTTAAAGGTTTCTTTCCTCCCGTTTTTGATGTTTTTTTCCCGTTTTTCCCAGCGGGTGCCGCCTACGCCTGCTGGACCTGACCGGACTCCCGGATTCCGCATCCGGCCGCGCTCCGGACGGGATGAGCGTCTGGTCCGGCACGGTGGCTTTGGCCAAGGCGTGCGTGGAGGTGTCCAAGCACCAGCGGGAATTCCAGAGGCGCGGATCCAAGCGGCACAAAGGCCGCTCCGGAGCCGCCACGGCCGCGGCCGCTCCGCAGCCCCCGGGCGTGGACGTCCACGCCGACCTGTTCGTCAACGGAACGTCCTACGGGATCCTGCGCGACGCGCTCCAGACCGGAGCCGCCAGCCCGCTGCGCCTCAAGTGCCGCGAATTCCAAGCCGAGGAACTCTCGGCGTCCGGGATCGTGGCTTTGTTGGAATCCTTGGATCCGTCCTTCCTGCGGAGAGTGGATCTGCGATTCAACAACTTGGGACTGGCCGGGCTCTCGGTGATCCTGCCGCACCTCTCGCGCTTCCCGGAGCTGCGCAGCCTCAAGCTCCAGTACAGCAACGTGGACGTGCGGCGCCCGACGCCGGAATCGGCCATCGGAATCCGGTGCCTGGCCGGGCAGCTGGGAATGCTGCCCAGCCTCCGCGAGCTCAACCTGGGATCCTCCCGGCTCTCCGGGAATCTGCGCCAGATCCTCTGGTGAGTTCTCCACGGAGCGGGGCCTGGCCGGGACCTTCCCGTGCTCCCGGGGGGATTCCAAGGGTTGGGGGTCTTGGGGGTCTTTTCCAGCCTGAGTGATCCTGTGGTTCCAGGATTTCATTATCCTGATGTTCCCATGATTCCGTTATCCCAATAATAGCTCATGACTCAGTGATTCTATTGTCCCATCATTTCAAGATTCCAGAATTCCTTTGTTCCAGGATTCCCAAAGG